TCCTCAGAATTGCATGGGATGTAAACCTTGTATGCCCTTTGTTTTTAAACTTTGCTTGCCCACAGGTAAGCAAGACCTCATGTAAGACAGAACTACTACACTTACTTTCATTGTGATGAGCCGTTTGTCTCCACCAATGTGTAAGCTCACATCTTTCCTACCAGCGACGATTACAATGACCAGCACTGCGAAAATAAATATAGAGGAAACAAACTATCTGATGAGGTAATAATCTGAGGTCTTTTGATCAAAACTTTGAAAATGTGATCAATACAGCAATGTGACCAAAGAAAGATGGGTTCAGTCCTGCCTAGAAAAGCAGGTGCTGGAGGCAAAGCCCAGATGATGAAGATGGGAGGAACGAGACACAAGGCCAGCAGGCAGTGCAGCACAGTCAGCCGGAGTAGTTAGAGCTCTCGTCGATTCTCAGGCCAATAGAACACACCAAGCAAGATGGACCAGATGCTGTGCGGATGTTCCATGAGTTCTATGTGGGGAAGCCTGTTCCAGGAAACAGAGAAGCAATGCCTGCCACAGGAGTGGACGCTGCAGTTGACTTCAACCTTCATTGGCATGGAATTTCACATGGGGAGAAAGCTGGCAGTAGTGCTGTGGAGACTATGGTGTTTCCTGTCTTCTCTGACAGGCTGTCGGCTTCTGTGGAAAGATGCTGTCTGGTTGACTGTTAGTGCAGGTGCAAAATCTGCACTTGTTTAGGTGGGGGGAAAAAAAGGAAGGCAAAAAAAAAAAAAACCCCAACTGTCCCAAAACAAACACAAACAAGCAAACAAGTAAACAAAACCAAAATCAAAAACCAAACCCAATAAAAAAAAACTGAGAAAGAATTTAGATCTTTTTTTATCTTGAATATACCTATGAGGCTACAAAAAGAGCAACTAGAATGTTCCCCCTTCAAATGTGACAGATAGAAATCTTTTGCATGGTGGGTAAGGGTTTTGAAACCACATCTCCAAGCGGCAGATTCATACTCAGATAGGTTCATTCCTCTCACACAGAACAGTAAGATTTGAACTTTAAATCACTGGCTGTGGGGATTTAAAAAGAGTCATTAGGGGCTGACGAGATGACTCAGTGCTTATGAGCATGTGCTATTCTTGCAGAAGATGCAGGATTTGATTCCCAAGACCAGGATAGCAGCTCACAAATGCCTGTAACTCCAATTCCAGCAGATCCAGCTCCCCATTCCGGCCTCTGAAGTCACTCAGCACACATGTGGAGCATATTCATACATGCAGACAAACACACATATAAATACATACACAAATAAATAAGCCCAAATAAATAAATAGAAGGAGCCAATCACTTTAATTTCTGCTAGGGTAAGATCCTTCAACATTCTCTAGATCAATATATTTCTAATTCAAAACCTTCTGAAGTGCCTTTAAAATTCCCCTAAAGTGCTCTTAAGTACTTATGTCAACCTTAAAAAGAGAAAATCAGTAACACCTCTTGAGAGTTTTGGCCATTAGCTCATCAGGCAACTTTACATATATATAAAAATAAGTAGGTAGCCATTTGTATTTTTGAAAAACAAAACAAAACAAATAAACAAACATTTTCTAATTTAAATTAGGCATGTGGCATTTGGTTGGTAGTTTGAGACCAATTTCAAGTATTTATTTGCTTCAGGGTTGTCTTTTCTCAGAACCTTTCTGGGTTTCCTCAGCATTCTGGGTTATTGTCACGATGGGGTTTCCCCTTGACCTTTTATCTAGTTTTTTAATTTCCACCGTAGTTCCTCCCGTACTTGAATAACAAGAAAGGGGAGTTCATTTACATGCTGAAGAACATAAATGTGATCAAAGTAGAATTCAATTAAGGTCTGAGGGTGGAAATAAAATCCACAGCAACATCCACTGCGCAAATATTCAGTGTCTACCTCAGGGTGTGATCAGATGGCTCTGCTAGCCTTCCTGTTGGAGAGAATGGACTCCTGGAGCCAAGGAGGTGGCTTCCCTGTCCTGTGACACTGAAATGCCAGCTTGCTATTTTCCCTTTACTCCCTGTTCCAAGACATTGAAATGTAGAGTTGTTTTCTTTCCCCCCTGTTTTCCTGTTTCCTTCTCAGCTGGTGATTTTCTAGGCAATAGAAGCGTGTTGTGACTTCAGTCCAGTGACTTCTACTGACTGTTACTTTGTGCAAGGGGATGGGCAGCCTGGGTTCACTGGTGCACCTGCGACGGGACATGTCTATGAATATGGGTACAGTCAGCTGGTGGTCACCTTTCTGGATGGCTGTCTCTTTATATCCACTTTGACTTTCACCAGATAGCTACTTCCCCCACTCATTTCCTTAAAGCAATCCTGATAACCTTTTCCTCCCCCACCCCTGCTCAATTACTATGCAATCAGCACCAGGTAGTTTCCTGTCACATAATCTCCAAGTTAGCATTTATAACATCTTTTGATTGGGATGTGGGGTGCACACCTTTTATCTCTGCACCCAGGAGGCAGAGGCATAGATATCTAGTGAGTCCCAGGACATCTAGGACTATGTGGAGAGACCCTGTCTCAAACAAAACAAAATAATCCTCCCAAATTAATTCACATATCCTTTTACCTTTGACGGAGTACACATCAGCTCAGCTCCAGTCTCTCCTCTAGCTCCGCCTCATCCCTATACTAAATTATTTCTTTCCCAGCTTGCTGAAAAATGGACTGTCTATCTAAATGGGGAATTTTTTTTTTTAAAAAGTAGGCATGCAGATCCGTGCAAGCCACCGAGTCTCCCTTTAAAGGGGTGGATGGGAACCTGTCCCTTACATTGCTGCTGCTCATGTGTTTAGTGCGCCATCTACTGACCCAGTAAATGACTCCTTTCTGTCATAGAAGAAAGGGGAGCCCAAGATTCTAGGAAGAGAAAAGCAGCTCCAGGCCGAGGTGGCTCCCACTCTGGACACCACCAGCTCGCTAACATGACTGTATCTCAACTTTACTATCGCCCAGGGTAGGCACAGGATTCGGATGTTGTGCACATGGCTGGGAGCTCATGGAATACATGAGAATTCAGGAAAAAGAATGAGATCTTAAAAGACCTGGTGGGAAGGGTAAAAGGTAAGCTGCACAATTACTTTGGAAAGTAGAAACGTCAAAGGATAAGTGTTCCAGTTGAACAAACCAACGAGACTCTTTTAGGAACAATGGAAACTATATAGAAATTGAGAGTGTATGTTAGAAAGGAAAGGCGCAGGCAGAAAATGAAAGATGAAGGCAGGACACCTTGGTCCCCTGTGCACTCTAAACAATGCAAACACCAGGTCCAAACTTCAGCTCCACCACCCTAATTATTTGTGTCATGACAAGAAACCTGCCTCTGTCCAGCTATAAGGTGAGGAGATGACCCTCTTCCCAGCTGTGTTAAGTAACAGACTATGTATGAAAGCACCAAAGACCTTGAAAATGTCCAGCAAACAGGCAACTTGTCAGTAGGAGAAAAGAGAAGAAAAACAGCAGCAACAAATAAGAAAAGAGAGAAAGCTTAGGGATGGCAGCGCAGAACACATCTGAAAAGAATGAAAACAACACCTAGACTCTACTCCTGGGCACGAGGCATTGATCCACTTTACCGTTCGAGCTGCAATTGGCTCTGACTTTCATGTATTCACAGCGGTGCCCAGTGGACAGGGCACCTACCTGCCTGGTCCCCTGAGCACTCTAAACAATGAGGTAAGAGTGCTACATCCAAAGCCCCTGACAGGAATTTCCTCAACTCTCTGCTCAGAGCTCGGTATGCAGAAAAAGGCACATGGAACTGAGAAAGATGGATCTGACTGAGGGCTGTAACTGGGGATGAGGCTTTTCCCCATTGAGAGAAACTTTTTGCAGGGCTTAGTTCACAAGGCTTTGGTGAGCCCTGGGTTGCCACTGTTGGTCAGTTAATAATAGAAAGAGAGGTTGGGAGAAATGCCCACAGGACCTGAGTAGACACTTGGGTCCCTTCTCACTCAAGGTTGAGTCCACACGGGAGATCCAGGATGTGGAAGTTGCCACTGTCTCTCCTGTAGAACCTGGTCTGATTATTTCTTTGTGTGGGTGCACATGTGTGTGTTACGTGTAAATGTGCATATTCACGTGTGTGCACACAGTAGCAGGGAGTGGAGGCTTGGAAGCTCACATTCGTTAGTCCCTCTCCACTGTCTTTTCTTTAATGTGTCTGAATGTTTTCCTGCATTTATACATGTGTACCATGGCATGCCTGGTGACTGTAGAAATCAGCAAGTAACGATCTCCTGGAGCTGTCGTTGTGGATGGTTGTGAGCCTCCATGTCGGTGCTGAGAGTGGAATCCACATCTTCTGCAAGGGCAAATAAAGCTCTTAACCAGTGAGTCTATCCAGCCCCTCTACCCCTTTTTTTTTTTTTTTTTTTGAAACAAGTCTCTCAGTGAACCTGGAGCTTGCTGATTCAGCTAGACAATGATCACCAGGGATCGGAGTGCCCTGATCCTTCTCCTCAGTGGTGGGGTTACAGCCTCGGTGCCCACTTTTTATGTGAGTTTTGGGAATCCAAACTTGGGTCCTCATGGTTGAGAAACAAATACTTTACTGACTGAGCCATCTTCCTAGTTCCTCACATAACTACTTCTAGGCACTGTAAAAGATTCTAGATTCCTAGAACATCTGAAGAGCTGAATATATTAACACACACACACTGTGTTCACCATCCCTACAGAAGGGTTGGGAGCCAGAATGCCCATTCCCTGATGTAATGTCCAACTGCAGTCTCAGGAGACAGCAGCCTTTGCCTGTGTTGCTAACCTTTTACCAGTTTCTAGCCATCCCAAGAAATAAGGACCAAGAACACAGTAACGTGAGCCCCAATTAGCATAACATAAAAACAACTTAGTCATGTTTTCCATGGGCTTTTCCAACCTCAAACTCAAAGCAGAAACCAGGCAGAAAGAGATAAAAATACACGCGTGGAACTATAAATAGATGCGTGCTGTCTGGATATGCACTGCCGCGTTCTGTGGCCCAAGTGAGCAGCTGTCTCCAAGAAAATCAGCCAGGTAGAGAAACCTGAGGATTTTCCCCTTTCAGATGCTCTTGTGAGAATCGACAGGAAGGGAATCATCCCTGATGGCTCGGTCCGGCAAGGAAGGGGTTAAGTCCCCAGTCCTCCCATTCTGAAGTGATTTACAATGATGTGTAGTGTTTCAAAACTTTCCCCAGCCCAAGCACAACTCTCTCCCTTCTCACCAGGTTCACTGACTCTCCCTGTACTGAAATGGAAGGAGGCGTGTTTTGCTGATCTGGTAAATTCTTAGTGAAGTTTTCTTGATTTCCAGCGGCTGCTGTTGTTTGAGTTTGGTTTGGAGCAAACCTGAGGTAGTCCTGACATTTCTGGAATGGAATCCAGATGAGGAAGAAGAAATCGGAGGAGACGGAAGAAAGAGGAGAAAAGAAGGTGGGGAGAAATAAAGGGAGGAGAGACGGAAGGAAAGGGGGAAAACTCCCTTTCCCTACATTCGCAGTCCCGGTTTCCCGCAGCCTGGAAAACATATTAATCCCAGTGCCTTGACGCTACGAAACAAAGGGGCTCGGCCAGACTGTGTGGGGAAAGGGAGATAAGAAAGATCTTGGAACTCCACAGAGGGCAAGAGTGAGATTCAGAAATTCCTAGGACTTCACTTTACGGAAAACCCCGGTGGCAGCAAAGGACCAACTCCCACAGACCCAGGAGAAACTACAGACAAATGGAGATGCGAACCATCCCCCGGAGGAAGGCAACTTTCACCTTGTCTCACTGGACCAGAAGGTAAAAAGACACAGCCAGGCAGGAAAAGGATCGGTCCAGCTCCACAGGCTGAGCTTCCTGGGGCCGCTTTCTCCAACAGAAGCTGCAGCACATCCCTTTTGTATTGCTCACCCTCTACGAGACGGAGGGCTGGGAGGAAAAGGAGTTCATCTAGGAAACTGTCCTGGGGACCAACCTTTCCATTTCTCTGGAAAGCCTGCGCACTCCACCTCCATGAACCACGACGTAAGTGCGCAATCTTTGCTTTTTTTTTTTTTTTTTTTTTTTTTTTTTTTTTTTTTTTTTTTTGCTGTTTGCTTCGCTGTTGCTTGTGTGAAGACATGGAGTGTGAAATTACAGCGCTCGGTTTACAGGGTCTCTGGTCCATCCAGAGCACAGCTGAGGCAGTGCAAGTATGCCTGCCGCCCCGCCAGTGAAGCAGGGTTGGATTTCCTGCTTAAGGACTGTCTCTGCTAAGCCCTGACACTCACAGAAGCATGAAGGCAACAGGCTCTCACCCTGCTTTGTCTCCTCTGCCCTCCCTCCCCTTTCTTCTCTAGCTACCCCTTCCCCTTGGCCAAGATAGAGAAATAGATGATGCCCAGCTCTGTTTGCAATTAATAATTTTTTTCTCTCCTCTCTCTCTCTCTCTCTCTCTCTCTCTCTCTCTCTCTCTCTCTCTCTCTCTCTCTCTCTCTCTCTCTCCTCTGCATTCCCAAGTGGGTAACACAATGATGTGGAAAATGGGACCGCATTTCACCATACTGATGGCCATGTGGCTGGTGTGCAGATCAGAATCGCATTCTCCTATCTTGGATAGAGACAGTCACCCAGTGCGCAAAGTCTCTTTGTCCTCGCCAATCAGCACTAGGTCCGCCCGATATCTGAGGCATGCGGGGAGGTCCGGTGTAACTGAGAAATCCACTCAGGAAGAACCAAATCTTCAGCCTTCCCAAAGGAGGAAGAGTGTCCCAGTGTTGAGATTAGCTCACCCGACCGTGAGGCCAACCCCCTTAGGTGTCGATGGAGTCCCAGTCAGACCTGAATTAAGACCAATCGCTAGGAGCTCTCCGCGTGAGATGGTCCGTGATGAGGGGTCTTCTGCTCGGTCAAGAATGCTGCGTTTCCCTTCTGGGTCCAGTTCTCCCAATATCCTGGCCAGCTTTGCAGGAAAGAACCGGGTGTGGGTCATCTCAGCCCCTCATGCCTCAGAGGGCTACTACCGACTCATGATGAGCCTCCTGAAGGATGATGTGTATTGTGAGCTGGCGGAGAGGCACATTCAACAGATCGTGCTCTTCCACCAGGCCGGTGAGGAAGGGGGCAAGGTACGAAGGATCACCAGTGAAGGCCAGATCCTCGAGCAGCCCCTGGACCCCAATCTCATCCCAAAGCTGATGAGCTTCTTAAAACTGGAGAAGGGCAAGTTTAGCATGGTGCTGTTAAAGAAGACTCTGCAGGTGGAGGAGCGCTACCCTTATCCCGTCAGGCTGGAGGCTATGTATGAGGTCATTGATCAAGGCCCCATCCGCCGGATCGAAAAGATCAGACAGAAGGGTTTCGTCCAAAAGTGTAAGGCCTCGGGCATAGAGGGCCATGTGGTCCAGGAAGGGAACAATGGTGGTGGAGGAGCTGGAAGCACGGGCCTGGCCAGTGAGAAGAGGAAAGAGGACCCAAGAAGAGTACAAGTCCATCCTACTAGAGAGCCACAGAGAAAGCTGGTCACCACCAAGGCAGCCACTCCCCAACCTACCCCAACCCCAAGGGCCACCACTCTTCTTCCTACTCCAGTGACAATGGTCACTCGTGCCACATCCCGGATGGTGACAGTAGCTGCAAGACCTACAACCACGACTGCCTTTCCAACCACCCAGAGGCCCTGGACATCCCGGCTGCATCCTTTCTCAGTCTCCCACGGGCCTCCTGCAACAACTGAGGTGACCACTGCCAGGGGCACTTCCGTTTCAGAGCAGCTCTACCCTCTGTCTCGGAAGGAGCAACAAAGGGAGAAGCCACAGGCCACCAGGAGGCCCAGCAAAGCCACCAACTATGGGGGCTTCACAGCAGCCCCACCCACCACCCTCTGGGAGGGCAGCACAAGAGCTGTGGGTACAAGTCGTTTCCGCGACAACCGGACAGACAGACGAGAACATGGCCATCAGGACCCAAATGTGGGGCCGGGCCCTCACAAGCCCGCAAAGGGGAAGCCGCCCAAAAAGAAGGACAAAATTCTCAGCAATGAGTATGAAGCGAAGTACGACCTCAGCCGGCCCACGGCCTCTCAAGGGGAGGAGGAACTGCAGGTGGATAATATTCCCTCCCAGAATGCAAAGGAGTCGAAAAGGCCCGAAAAGCTCGGGAAACCTGAGAAGGAGAAGAAAAAAAAGGGGAAGGGTGTGAAACCAGACAAGCTACTCAAGAATGAAAAGCAAGCGAAGAAAGCCGAGAAAAAGAGCAAGCAGGAGAAAGAAAAGAACAAGAAGAAGAAGGCTGGTAAGCCAGAAGAGGATGGCTATCAGAAGCCCACACCAAAGCAACTCACACCAAGCCCCAAGAAGTCAGTGAGAGACCTGATGGGCGCTTTCGAAGGCAAACGAAGACTCCTTGTAAGTAATCTCTGGCGTTTTTTCCCATGTGCTGAGGTGGGACATTGGCGGGTTTGTCGTATTGTGTATGTTATAAAATCACATTTTGGATGATAGAGTGGGTCTGAGCCTGCCTCATGTTCAGGAAGGTTGGGGACAGGGTGCGGTGGCTCATGCCTTTTGACACTAGCACTTGGGAGGCGGATGAATTTCTGTGAGTTCTAGGTCAGTCTGGTCTACATGATGAGATGGTTGCTGTGATTGTCAGAGACACGTTTTAAGCTGGTGGGCAGGTATTCTCTCTCTTCGGGAAGGCTGCTTCTTCCATTGCTGTCCCAAATTACTAGGAAGAGCAGAAAGAATCCCAGGATGGCATGTGGACTGAGCTATTTGCTCTGGTTTCTAGAGCCTCAGAGGTGTGTATGAATTTGGAGTAAGCTGTCAGTTTCTCCCGAGGCTGTATTGGAAATGGGTATGTGTGCCCGTGTTGAGGGAAAGGAGATAAGCCATCCACACTTCTGTTAAGCCTGCTGTTCTGGGTACCTCTAGTGTGCAGTGTGCACATACACATCAGGAACCTTCTCTTTGAGCATTACTTGCCACTGTCTGTAAAATGGTAAAAAAGGATTTAGATAAATTGGAAGAAGGCTTTGGGCAGGAACAAGCCAAGGCTAAATGGAAGGTCTTTTCTCATCAAGGACAGCACATGACTCCTCTTGTTTATGACTCCTTCTGCGTGCCTCCATGTTTCAGATCCCCCACCCCCCAGATTTCTACTCTAACTCTGACTTTGTAACACCATAGTGTTAGCCTGGGCTGCCAAGGTGTAGCGGCGTAAATGAACGCAGACAGATTGTAATAATATACAGCTTTAATGGGGAAATAGACTTACAGAACCACAGGTTTCCGCAGAGAACAGGAAAGCAGAAGGGGCGGTTGGGAGCACGCCCACAATCTTTATAAGTAAAAAATATCCTCAGGGGACCCCGGCCCCTGCTAGCAAGGTGATTGGCTGGGTCTCTCCTACACCAAGGGGGAGTTTAATAAGTTACACATAATACATAGTAAAAGACCGGCAAATTGATATTGATTGGGTGAGGCAAGTTATGAATGCTATTCTTAGATATTGGTGTAAGGTCATTGTGACCACCACATCCATCCTCCTGAACACAAGATCTGACTCCTTGCCTACATTCATCTTGCACACTAGACAGGCACCCTTCTTTAAGGCATTCCTCAAGAATTCATTTTGCTCAACATGGCCTAAATTTGGATTAATGATCTGAGCAGAGAGACTCTTGACGGCCATGTATCTTTAGTGGTTTCAAAATGTTTAAATGCACATTTGAAGTGTTAACCAGAGCAGAGGCCTTTGTGGTATTTGCTCTGGGTGGAGCATGTCCTGAGTTTTCTTTTCATCTCCATCAATGGAGGTGTCAGGGAGTAGAACAAAACCTAAGGTCTGGCTGATTTTGAGAGACAGAAAGAGAGAAGAGAGAGAGAGAGAGAGAGAGAGAGAGAGAGAGAGAGAGAGAGAGAGAGAGAGTCCCAATAGTACTTTCTGTAAGCTGATGGCATTTTAAACCAGATTTCTCAAGTGACTGCACAAATTTAGGCAATCAAGTGATAGTCTATATATTAAAGTAGTTTAACAGCTGCTTGTATGATCCCAGGATGGACAAACTGTCCCAATTAGAGCCATGAGAATCACTGATTTAAAGTAGAACTCTAGCCAGTACCTGGATATTTGTCCAGGATCTGTGGAGCCAAGCTGCTCTCTTGGGGGCGTGGGAAAGCCTTACCACTTGAGTTTCTTTGCAGGCTGAGTACCTGGGACTTTGCCCAGCCCACTAAAAGCAGCCTCTCACCCAATTCTGTCCATTTAGACAACAAGGCAGGCAGAGCCCTCCTCGTGGCTAGAGTTTAAGCACAGAGAGAAGTAATCAAGGGTAAAATGTCAGGATTGTAATTGTGCACCCGCCTGACAAATACTCTCATTGCCCCAAGCGGGTAAGTCAAAAGAAAGAGGTTTTCATACTAGATCCCTGGTGTTAGCTGTGCGTTCGAATTTCTCTTGCCTGCACCCTGCTCTCAGTGTTAGGGATCGGGGATGCCCAGCTGGGGCTTCTCCACTTTTAACAGCATCCCTGGTCATAAATTGTTATCAAATGAAACTCAAAGGATAGCTTCTGCTGATGCCATATGAGGCAAGGCAGAAACCAGCCGGAATTGCTTCTGCCTATGTTGGCACTTTGGAGCTAACCAGAGAATGAGGTTTGTTATTAGAAAGAAAATCCCAACAGGGCACAGTTCAGTCTGTCAGTCCTGAGTGGGGCCAGCTGATCATATCACGAATGTGTCTTCTGAAGTGCTAATGATGTATGAAGGGAGAATGGGGTAGAGAAGATGAGATGGAGCTGCCATGATACCAAAACAATGCTTCCGGGTAGAAGGCATTACTCATGCATGAATCCCTTCCCACTCACTTTTCCCATCCGTCTCTGCTGCTGTTATTCAGGAAGTGTGGCAATTCAAAGAGCATTCAGGAAAGCTGAGCAGTTTTGAGCTGTTAAAGTATGGCGGAGAGCATGGGCTTCTAGCCTTGACTTAACCTGGAGTGCTCAACCTAAGAGTAGCTTTGCATTCCAGGAAATGGTGTGGGCTTTCTGGCTCATTTCTCCAGCTTTTCAGTAACCAGATCCCTGACTCTAATCTATTGTAAACCCCTGGTGTTTTGTATTCATTCATGCCATTCTTTGGATGTGAAAACATCCCATAACTGCTGTTTAACCGATTACTCAGGGATACTCTAGCAGCAACTGTGTAAGTTGTGGTTGAGCGAATGGCTTCTTCGAGGCCTTCAAGCGCATTGCAGATAGATCCAAGGTGCAATCCTTTAAGCTCTTTGCCTCTCGGTTTCTTAAAAAGTGCAGATTTTTCCTGTGAGGCGCTTTGTTGAAGCTTCATGGTTCTGTTCTCACAATTCCTACAAGGAATGGGTTATTTACCTTCTTTCCCAGATGAGAAAACACAAGTTTAGATTTCTTGAGACGTTCACCCAAGGCGTGTAGCTATTATGTAGGAAAGACCTTGTCTCTGTTCAACTTCAAAGTCAATCCACACTCAACCTCCCTTCCACTGGGCCTTGGGAAGTATATGCCCCCCAAAAAATGGGAAATTGGAGAATAAAACTGTCCATTAATAAAGTATGAACTTTTAAAACTTCATTTTGGGGTTAGTGAGATGGTTGAGCAGGTAAAAGTGCCTTCTACCAAGCTAAGCAATGTGAGTTCAACCCCCAGGTCCCACATGGTAGAAAGAGAACCATCTCCCACAAGCTGTCCTCTGGCCTCCACATGCATTGCAACCCCCCACAACCCACATGTAATAAATAAACAATATAAATAATAAACAATAGTTTTTAAAAACTTCATTTTGAATTTTGAGTCATCAAGAATGTGAAGAAACAGTTCCATTTTTATAGGAAGTGCAAAGGTGGGGTCACTGCCTTTCCTACGCAGCTCAACTCTGGCTCTCCAGGCAGTGGGTGGAGAACAGTGGACTGAATCCATTTTTCTCTCCTTTGATCTGTTTGCTGCCCATTTGGGGGCTACAGAGATGGTGGGCAGCTGTTTAGCACTAGACTGCTGGTCCTTATGGACGGTAGCTAACAGACAATCATTTGGCGGCCCTTAGATGCACCCAGTGACAGCTCACAGGGACCTTCCATGTGTTGAACTGCACAAATGCAGGCTCAAGTCTTAGCTCTCTTTGCCGATGGAATCTCCTACAGTCCAAGTGGGCTAATACTGGGAACTGAGATAGCAATCTACTTACTGGGTTTAGTTTTATAAAAGGGTTTAAAGTTCTGTTTTTACAAGGCAGTCTCCAAGACTGAAAGCTGGTTTATGGAATTCTTTACAAATCTCGCGTTTCAAGCCTCACACAGTACTCAGACTAAATGAAGACTGAAAATATGTCAAATCTGACTCCTGTTTGTTCCCTTTACTTATACAACCAGGTTTCATTCTCCTCTAGGACTCATTGACCCAACACACCATTGGAACAGAAACACAAATCAGATCACAGGACAACTGTAAATTCAGGACACATGCACTGAGTTATTGCCATTGAGCTGGCAAGAGACCAAGTGACAGGACCTACGCTGAGGAGTACGGTGGTGTTCCTTCTAGGAAGAGAAAACTTGGAACAGTTTCCATGTTAAGCAGTATTAGAACTGCTGCCAAGCTGAGAAATAATAGATGTGACAGAGATGTCAACACACAGGGAAAGACTCTGACATGTCAAGTGACCAGCTGCTCCTGTTTCCCTGTGCAAACTCCATCAGTAGATGAAGTGTTAGGAAAAGGCTTTCCGTCTGGCTTAGGGGCTTTGTCTAGATGTGTGCACAGTCAGGGATCCTCATGCTTCTGAGTTCTCCCTGCCCTGATATGAATGGACTGATTTCTAGCTTGTAGAATGTGGACCAGACAGCATGGAACACAGGATAGCTTCATGGTCTGAGATCTTAGTGCCTTAAGGAACTTGATGTCAGCATAAAATATATGTAAAGGAGATACAAAATTTCCATGCGTGCTGTGCAGACCAGTAGAACTGTACTTAAAAGGAGTGAATCTTTGAGATAGGGTAATGGAGGAGGATGTGGGAGGCTAGAAGACATGGACAAGCACAGATGGTAGGAGAATCAGTGAACTAGTCAGAGGCAACAGACATGCATGTGTTTGGATGCATAGCCCCGGACAAATATGCATGTATATTGTTCAGTTCCTGAGACTTATGAAGTTTGCAGAGAGGTTGCTCCGTGGTAAAGATGACAAAGGTGAGAGGCTACAGGCTGTCCAGGGGTTGAAGTAAGACAAAGATGTCAGGCCTCCTTCTCTGATGGTAGACATCACCCTTTCCTCTGTGCCACATTGCCCAAAAGTTGCTTTTATTTCATGGTTGGAATTGGTCTGATAACAAGTGTAAAAAGAACGAATAAGCCCGGGGAGAGAGCCTGCAAAGCCAGAAGCCAGGAATTGAATCATGCAACATGAACATCACCTGCCTGGTGACTTAAAGCATCCCTGGGCAAAAGTTCCAGGTTAAAATAAAGCTGCGAGGATGTCCTTTCTCTCAGGTTCCTACTGGGCATCCGTGGCCTGACAATGTTGTATACCTATGTGGAAGAAGCTGGCATGCAAGGGAGGAAGGGCATCTCTGAGATTGCATATTGTCTGAAATTCTTAATTATACATGCCCAGGAGCAGAAGACTGGAGGAAGCTTTGAGAATTCTCAAAATATGGCTGTGGACCGCAGGGCTCCATGACAAAGGATGAGGCAAAGAAACAAAGCCTGGGTGTGGATACAAAGTGAGAGGACAGTAATTATCATCATTCTAGTGTCTGGGAAGCTGTGCCATGGAACTTCCTAGACGTATTCCAAATACAGGCCAGGAGTTCAAAATCTTGAATGGTCAGTCTTTTCATCTTTGTTTTCACTGTGTTATATTCTCACTTTAACAACATTTTGCGCATTCCAAAATGGTCTGTTTATGAACAAAGACATGCCAAGAAAGAAAAAGAAAAATCTAGAATATGTAAAGTTAAAATAAAATTTCTTCCTTCCCTTTCAAAACACATATAGCTAATTAAAAACAAACTAACAACCAAAAATATGATCAATGTATCTTTTTAGAACCACCCTATTTTTTTACCTTCAGGCTAAATCTGAATCAATGAATGAATTTTAAGCAGTATGAGGAATTTTAATACTTTCCCTCATGGAAAAGTATCTCTTAACACATATTTCCTGCCATTATGTCCATATGAACAGGCATGAAGCACAAAATCAAAAATGAGCTGAAACATGTCTACTTAAAATGATGAACTAAAAAATTTCTTAAAAAGCAAAACCAAAAACCTTAGCTACTATTCCACTCAAAGTCTTCCAGAAGCATTTAACTTCCTGGAGGGAGTATTTAGTCAAGCACAAAGATTTCAGCAAGGAAAGCTTGTAGGTATCAATAAACAACTCTGAGGGAGAATAAAAATAAACAGCAAGATCAATTTGGAGCCAAATTTACTGGTCATTTTTGATTAAAAAAATAATATTTGACAGAAGTTACCAGCATAGTAGCGTCTCCCACCAAAAAAAATGCTAAACTGCTAGACACAGACTTTATAAAGAGTTTATAAGTTTTGGGTGCATAAGTAGAAAATGGAATGTTAAATTTAAACATGGCTGGATGCAGGAAAATGTTTACAGGAACAAAAAATATGTGAGTTCTCTTGGTTCCAGAAATCAACAAGACCTGGCCATGATAAGAATGCATCTCCATGTCTTCCCTCTTTTAGGACAAGCAAAGTGCTGCTGCCCATTCTTGGCATGTGGGAAACAGGTTTAGTCTCAGCTTGGAAAATCTGTGACATTGAAGAAAGTTTCAAAAAAGACGACTAAAATGATCAAATTAGGGGCTGGAGAGATGGCTCAGCGGTTAAGAGCACTGCCTGCTCTTCCAAAGGTCCTGAGTTCAATTCCCAGCAACCACATGGTGGCTCACAACCATCTGTGATGAGATCTGGTGCCCTCTTCTGGCCTGCAGGCATACATGCAGACAGAATACTGAGAATACTGTACACATAATAAATAAATAAATAAATCTTTAAAAAAAATAAAATAGCACTCGGGAGGCAGAGGCAGGCGGATCTCTGTGAGTTCGAGACCAGCCTGGTCTACAGAGCTAGTTCCAGAACAGGCTCCAAAGCCACAGAGAAACCCTGTCTTGAAAAAAAAATAAAAATAAAAATAAAATGATCAAAGTATCGGAGAAGTTTTCCTGTTAGGGTAGATTCAAAACATTGTGACATTCTAGAGGATACAAGACAGCCTAGATAATTAACAAAATACATACACATATACATGCATATACACAAGCATGCATGCACACCCATACAAACATGCATACATTCATACATAGAATAACCAAAGCATACTCGTTTTAACCAAAGCAAAATAAAATACAGTGCCCCAGATGGCTACAGATCAAAAATACCTCAGCTGTATCTTTCCTTCAAAAGTCAGGAGTCATCAAATAGGGATGAAAATCCCAGATCCACTTTAGAGGCAAGGCTAAAGTGAGACAGTTAAAGCCATCCTGATGGGGTAGGGTTGAGCTCTAGTATCAGAATTCCCACCTTGGGCCCAGTGTGACAACGAATACCATCTGTGAGGCAAAATATAGTCCCCAAAGCCACCATAAATACTGTCTTCCAGATTGCCTAATAAAAATTCTGTTCCACAGTGTGCAGGCCTGGCTATGAAACTCTTTAAACATTGTGGAAGTGAAAAAAAAAAAAACATTATTGAACTAGCCCGATTAGTTAGTTGGGATAATGGAGATCAAAATAGAGGAAGGCAGATAATTATTGTATGTCAGAAATTCATGGAATGTGACAGATGTGAAGAAGAAATGTTTCTGTGTGCCCACAAATAGGAAAGCCACAGTACAGATAAAATGAAGGCGAATTAGAGAACTGAGGAGAGGCATCAGAACTATTTGGACTAGGTTCTATTTTACTTTAAAAGAAAAGATTTTTTAATAAAAGAGAGAAAAGAAAGGAATGAAGGAAGGAAGAAAGGAAGGGAAGGAGGAAGGAAGGAAGGAAGGAAGGAAGGAAGGAAGGAAGGAAGGAAGGAAGGAAGGAAAGGAGCGAAGGAACGAAGGAACAAAGGGAGGAAGGAAGATAGACAGTTTAAATGGTCATTTTTGTCTCAGTTATGCAACTGTCTAAGAAAGCAGTTTACAGTTTAATGCCCTATGCTCTCAGCTGTCTCTGGGCTCGGCCTCCTCCTGACCCGAGCACTATGAACTAATGGTTGCTTATCCTCCCGTGCCTCCAGCTGATCACCACTCCCAAGGCTGAGAACAGCATGTATGTGCAGCAGCGGGATGAGTATCTGGAGAGCTTCTGCAAGATGGCTACCAGGAGGATCTCTGTGATCACTATCTTTGGTCCTGTCAACAACAGCACCTTGAAGATTGACCACTTCCAGCTAGGTGCATTAATCATTTATGATTTTGTTTTTTGTTTGTTTGTTTTCGCCTCTTATCTGTGGTGGGCCTGTTGTTATGGGAGAGGTCTTGGGTTGGGGTTGGAGGAGATCAAAAGCAACATTAGAATGTCTGAAGTGTCCTCTGGCTGTAATGACAGAGATGATGTCTGTCTGGCTATCTGTCTGTCTATCTATCTATCTATCTATCTATCTATCTATCTATCTATCTATCTATCTATCTATCATCGATCATCTATCTATATCTATGCAGCCAGAAACACTCCGGCTTAAAGTGTTAGCATTTTGAAACAAAAATATGTAATACCCTCTCCCTTCTTTTTCAAAGATGGTGGGAAATGAGAAAAGTATAATATGATTGGGGAGAATGAGAGAGCATGCAGTCCCTTTCTCTTGGGTCCTGAGTCCTCTTCCCTGTGAGCAGCACCCGTCAATATGCCTACGTGCTCTATGCTACAAGTGATTCATCCCATCAGACATGGGGACCTGCCAGAACCCTAGACTCTGGCAAGCCTGGGGAGGTAATTAGCTAGAGTTAGAAACGTTAGCCTAAATGAAAAGTCACTGAAAATATGGGTTGAACTTTACCCCAATCCTTTTGGAGAGCGGAAGAATTTGGCTGAACTTTAGTGTTTTCACAATTTTCATGTTGATGGTGTGTATGAGACTCATGAGGCACTGCTGGCCTCAGGCAGCTGAGTACTTCACAGCTGTTCCCATAGGCTTGCTGAAGAGTTGCCGATGAGCTAAGCCTCGCGTTCAGAAGGCTGGAACCAGAGGCAATGGCTTCTTTTATGTTTCTCTTATGCATAAAACATTTTATGTAACAATTTTGTGTATGTGCGTGTGTGTGATTTTGGTAATCTTTTTTTATCCCCAATTACCATCTCTCATACCACCTCCCTTTCCCACTGAAACCCTTCTTCCTCACAAAAGTTTTATCTTTTAAAAAATCTTTTTTAAAACATTAGTTCACTACTTTTGATGTTTAGCTGTAATTAAAGTTCCTTGAATCAATTTTTTTATATTTCATTATCCTCTATATTTTCATAGAATATATATTCTATATCCTATACTTCTGCAAGTATATGAAAAGATTAACATTTACACCAAATAATATAACATAGCTCAGATTTTTCTGATGTGAGGTCTTGGTACAAATGACACATCTGTCCTAATGATGGTGTCAACTTGATTTGCATATAGACTAGTTTTCTGAACTATGAATTTTAATTATGACAACATTAAAATAAGATCTATTGTCTTAACAAGTGTTTTGCTGTAAAGTATAGTAGTGTAAGTATAGGCACAATGCTACCCAATAGTTCTCTGGAATGTGGCTGTTCATTTTCAGCTATGTGTTCTCTTTCATTAGCTCACTATCCCCTGAGGTGGCTCAAACTACAAATAAATAACATTCTTCTTGGTGCCCCATCATAAATCACCATGGATAAGTAGCTGATTTGTGAACTCTATCCTTCTGCAATGTGGATGTTTAGAGACAGGAATACTGTCCTTAATCAACAATACCCACTTATGGTGACACACACCTTTAATCCCAGCACTTGGGAGGCAGATGCAGATGTATCTTTTTGACTCTGAGGGTAGCCTGGTCTACATGGTGAGACTCTGCCTCAAAATATGAAAAACAACCACCAACTAAAATCAACAAACAAAAGAAGTCACTCTGGAGGCCAGTAGATCCACATCCAAAGTACAATTTATTTGTTATGTGATCTCGGGCAGGTTAGCTATTAAGTCTTTAAAGAAATCAAGCCTCCTTCACAGGCTGTGGTGAGGATGAAATAAGATTGTGTGGACACACCCCTGCTGATAACAGGCACTATTTTTGTGGCGTCCTTATCACCACTGTTGAATCAGGTAGCAGTTTGGAGATCCAATGAGCTGTCCCAGTTGTCACCAGGAAAACAATTGCTATAGCTCTCTGCTAATGACAGAATGCTGACTTGCAACTGCTCTTTCGGGTCAGATTGCATTAGACCTCCTGATGATGAATAGAGAAGCCCAAGAGAATAACAACAGAAAGGCATATTTGGTGGTTAACAGGGATTCAAACTATTTGCTTCCCAGAGTTTCACACAGTCTTGAGCCAGCAGGATCCATGACACTCCAGATGTCTGGAGAGGAAATGGGCCTTCAGTCCAGCACAGACTGGTGCTGGCAGATGATGAAGGTCCTCCCCAGCCAGGTGTTCTCTGTGTCAAATGTGCTACCTACAAATTCTTCCACGGCATTCCCATTCCTTCCTTAGTTCAGAGGAGTTTGGAAAAGTCATCAATCCTGGTAGAGTCATATTCTAAGCATCTGGTACCGCCTTGGAAAATTTTTAGCATTATTCTGGTGTTTTCTAGAAATCCGGATTGAATGTGAGTTGTGGGGGGGGGTATGAGGTGTTGCTGCTGTTGTTGTTTTTCTAATTTATTGCAAGTCAGGTCTTGTAGTTTACAACGCGGTCTGCAAGAGCGACAGCACTGGGCTGATTTAGAGGCAGGGGAGGATCTCTCACCTAATTCCTGGAAGGCCCTTCCCTCCCTGTGCTGTGACCCAGGTTACCCTTGTGAGAAAGGCTCACAGCTCTTTCAGCCAAGGCTGGGAGTCAGTTATGGGAAAATAAAACTTGGCGTGAGCCGCGGTCTCAGTGAACCAAATCCCAGCTTTGTCTGATTTTCAGCTGGACGTCTGTTCCATGGCTTTGCTTCTCCTTAAATATGAAGCAACTGTTGTATTTTACTAGGCCTTGAAAGCAGATGCTGATAACCAGACACAGTGTAGGCTGCCCTCACCCACTGGTCCATCTTGTTAAATGTCGTTGTAACACCTGGTGTGGACCTAAAACACTAGGAAACTTAAGGATTCAGACATTAGTCTAAAGAAAGTCATGAGGCTTGCGCAAATTCCAATGCCCTCTGGGTTTTGCCAATACAGATGTATGAGATGCTAAAATAGATCCACACATAAAGGCATTCTTTACTGTTATGTAAAATGTCACTGTAGCGTAAGAGTATTGGTGTTGAGTGGAAAGGTCATAGACAGAACCGATCAATATAGAAAGAAGTTGCTTGGTAATAGTTCTTTATTAAAGGATGAAATGAGGAAGAAGATTATAGCAGGTGAGGATTTTTTTTCCTAGAAAAATACAAAGTTGAAAATTACTTTGACATTGGTATTAGATCCCCAAATATTAAGGTCTAAAACACAAGGAATACTTTAAAATCCCTCTCTCTCTTCTTCCTCCCTTCCATCTCTCCCTCCCCTCACCCTGCCATGAGTGTATGTGTGTGTGTGTTTATATGTGTGTTCTGTGAAGATGCCTCACCTTCCCTGAGTGTGACTACATTCAGAGGCCATAGGAAGACATCTGATGTCTTCTATTACCCTCTACCTTAATCCTCTAAGATAGGATTTCTTGTGGAATGTGAGCATATTGTTTCCACTAGGGGTCTCAGTATCTGCCCGTTCCACCCACTAATGCTGGAGTTATGGGTTTTTATGTGGTTAAGGGATTTTAACTTAGCTCTTCCTGCTTGCATAACAAGTGCTCTTGCTTGCTGGTCTTACCTCCCCAACGCTGTAGCTTCTTCTGAAGGAATGACTGTTTAAGGGTAATTAACAAAAGGGTGGAATACACCAACAAGAAGAGACAAAGTACAAAGTGTTTATATGAATAAGGAATACACACTGATAATTTTTGTTTTGTTTTATTTTTTTCAAATCAGGGTTTCTCTTTGGAGAAACTTTGGAAACTGTCCTGAAACTAGTTCTTGTAGACTAGACTGGCCTCGAACTCACAGAGATCCGACTGCCTCTGCCTCCAGAGTGCTGGGATTAAAGGTGTGAGCCATCCCTGTCTGACAATACACACTGATGAATTTAAACTAACATTTATAAAGAATGACAGAATACATTCTAGCCTAAAATATTTTTCCTTCGATTTTATTGAAGAGAATTATGCTATATGGTAAAGCTCACCATCATCAGTATCCATAGTGATCCCCAAATCCTACTTTCCCTTTGAGGCAATCCAACTGATCCTCTGACTCCAACTGCTGTTTTCATCAATGGTTACAAAGTCTGGCAACTGCCTTTTTCTAGACCTCACCACCCTTAGAAAGGCAGAGAGTCTGGGTGAGTGGATTTCCACAGTGTCTAGGTGTTTCCTGTGTGTGCATACAGTCTCTGATTACCAATAATATCCATATAGGCTACAAAGCCTAGCACCCATTCATTCATCCTGTTCCACCACTCTTGGCCTTTAAGATTAAGTGGAGCAGGGTTGGTATCAACCCCTGATAATCAAGGAAGATAAAAAGTATGTAAGTCAAATGTGCAAAACAAGTCATCAGAGAATGTGGTGGAAAGGAAAGTGATTCCCTGTCAAAAGATAAGCAGATGAAGAAAATGTGGTATATAAACCTGAAGGAATTTTAATAACCATTAAGAAAAACAAAATTTGTAGAGAAATGGGTGCAACCAGAAATCATGCTGAGCAAAATGAGACAGACTCAGAAAGACTACCAAAGTTTTTCTCTCAGATGCAGAAGCTAAATTTAAACTTTATGTGTATGTGTGTATGCACAACTGCCACAATCAAGGATAATACCATAGATGGCAGAATAAATTTAAGTAGTGGGTGTATTAGTGGAGAAGCCCTGGCGAATCAAATTTATATTGTTCTAATTTTGGGAACTGAAATATTTTACCTTTAACTTTTGAAGGAGATGGTACATTTCACACCATTTATATAAGAAGTTATACATAGATGGTTCTTGAATCTATGCCTGATCCTTTCACCCTATTACTCCGTGTCCTCTGCAGGCACTGTATGTACAATTCCTTCTTTACTCACTGTGCTTCTTTATGCAATTACAGATAAGTACAACCATCTCCTTTCTATTGGTTATATATAAATATACATTACATATCACACACACACATATACATGCACATACATATATGTGGAGAGAA